TTCGGATCGGTTGATGATTGATACATGTTTTAATATTACATCAAGTTGGTTTTGATGTCGTTATCCCTCCTACTCTGAACCAGGCAAATAGTAATGCCCATTAATATCACACTCTTAACTCCCATTTTTTATCCAATTTCAACACGAGTTAAATTCTTACAATGAGAAAAAAAAAAAATCATGGTGTTAGAATATCGCTTGTTAGTAGTCTTACATTGATTATATAGGAAAAATGAGTCTAGTATATAAGCCTAGTGAGCTACTCCTCCCATCACCAATTTGTTTTGGGATAAAACCTCACTAAGGTGTATCTAGGCTCACTCTCTTATGGCGCGCTTCATCTGGTGGGACCGCACTCTCTTCCCTCGGTTCTAATATGATATCAGGAGCGCTAATATGATATCAGGAATGCTGGTGGGACCGCACTCTCTTCCCCAGTTTCTTAATATGATACCGCACTCTCTTCCCCCGGTTCTAATATGATATCAGGGTCTGTCCTAGGACCTGCAATAACTCATCTCTCTACTCTAAGCTTACGATGGACTCACAAGGGGCCATGTTGGAATATCACTTGTGAGTTGTCTCACATTGATTCTATAGGAAAATTAGTCTAGTATATAAGCCTAACGGGTTACACCTTCCATCACCAATTGGTTTTCAGATGGAACTTCACTAAGGTACATATAGGCTCACCCTCTTATGGTCCGCTTCATCTGGAGGACCGCACTTTTTTCCCCTTCATTTTAATAGTATGGTTAATTATTAGTTTGTAAGATTCATTTATAGGGCACTTGGAGATTTATGAGCACAACATGATTCATGTGGGTGTTATGGGTCATTTTCAATCATGATATATATGTACAATATATCAATACGGAAAAGGGTTGTGTGACAACTATTTTCTTCTAGTGTAAAAACTATTAAATTACCATTTTGTTTAACCACAGCATCACTATTCCACAAACATGGAAGTTGCAAGCTCCAAAAACATTGTCTTTTGCTTAAAGAAAAGCTCAGAAGGCTGCACTAAAGATGGTAAAATCCCAACGTGAAACATGGTCTTGTTTGGTAATCTGCATTTTGGGGCTAAATTAGATGTTTGCCCACGCAAAAATCTCTAATTAAATTGTCTGGTAAGTAGCGGTTTGAAATCGCTAATTAGTTGGAATAAAATATCGTAAAATTGATTGTTTTGACACTTTTAAATAATCATGATTTCATGTTATCATCTAGTCAAAACTGCTAATTCAATCAACTATTCTCTATAAACTAGTTCAACCTGATATCCTGTCATACAAGACCAATGTCCAACTTCAAACATGACATGAATTTCATAATAGATTTAATAGAAAATCCTACTATACGAATCTTCCATGGCAATGTCGAACTTCAAACATGACATGAATTTCATAATAGATTTAATAGAAAATCCTACTATACGAATCTTCCATGGCAATTATTCAGAATCTTCATTAGCAACTTGTACGCGTGATAATTCAACGGTAAATACCTAATCCACGACATCAACGGAGGAACTTGCTGCACCAAGCCAAATGATATCAATTTTTTAGCCAATTAAACGTGTTCGTAACACAAATACTATAGTTACCCTGCCTAACCGTTAAGCAGCTATAATATGTTTTTTAGGAAAAAAAAAAGTTTATATACTTATAATATGAAATTCACATAATAATGTTTTGATTTTGACTATATTAAGTAGTGATTAGATCATCTTTACCTTGATTAAGAAGCCACCAGATAACATAAAAGTCATGACAGTGACTGAAGTCCAATTTGCCGCCTCTCTTTCAGGCCTCGCTTAAACAGAATCATAAATTGTGAGGCCCAATTTGCCCATAATTCTCTTAATTGGGCCTAATTTGCCTCTCAAGTTGCTGTCTGAGCCTAATATTAAGTTGGTGTCGTTTCAAAATTGTAGAAGTCTTTCTAGATTCAGAAAGACTTCTAGACATCTTCTACCATATATTATATTATTTATTTTATATTTTTCTTTCTATCAAACAATTATTATTTTACACGTGTCAAATTATTCTACAATTGTCGTTAATCATTGAAGACAAAATATTTTTATTCCCTCTCTCCATACCATTCATCTCACAAAATATTTTTATTCTCTTTCTCCATAACATTCATCTCAAAATAGATGTTCAACCATTAGAGATGCTCTAAGCCCCCCACAGAAATTGTTATAACAAAAGTGATCAAATCTATTTTAATTTGATCAAAATTCTATTTTAACTCCTGCGATTCACGAACAGTCACACTAATATTTTTATATTATTTTTTTTTAAATATTAGACTATTCAATAATTTTTAAAATTTATGGTTTTCAATATCCGAAAAAAAAAATGAAAAAAAAATACTTCCTTGCATTTAATAGTTCACATTTTTACCTAGCAACTTACCAATTTGTCCTTTTTTCATGACATATTTTGTGTTTGTAATAGTTATTAACATCATCATCATCATCATCATCACTATCAAATCAGTTTATACAAGTCCAAAGGAATGAAAATCCCTTATGTTGGCTTTTATCTCCAAGGCTTCACACATCCTAATTACATTTTCATGACTGTTCAGATTTCAGACACAAGTTCGAACAAAAATCTCTTAAAAAAAAAAAGTACACTGAACCAGAATGAGAAACTTACAAAGGTACAAATCTTAATCACAAAATGTTAGTCATATGGACAAAAGACAAAACGAGCGCACAATCCTAGGAAAATGCCAAAAAGTACGAAAATCTGCTCAAGGCATTGAAGCTAACCGGTTTTGAAGGGAGTGAATTTCAAACTGCATCTTTTGCATATTGGCATTTTTCTCGTGTATGAGCTTCTGAAGGCTCTCCTTCAGGCATGTGTTGTGGACCCCATCGATCGTCTCCGTCTCCTGCAGGATGTGATGCCGCTTTTCAGACGAGTAGGTCTCGTTACCCATTCTCACAGTCTCTACCAACAAAAGACCAACAAAAGACAATGTGCAAAATGTGGTTTAATACTTGTTCTCAAGATCTAATGCATGTATATGGACACTTGTTCATAATATAGAACTCTACGACATGGGATTGCAAGGAAAAACGTTTTTCAGGTACTTTTTAGGGAGCCTTCAGTACTCGTTCAGGCAGAAACGGTCAAAAGTTTGATCTTCTTCACGATGGATTTTTCCGAGACTATTGTCAATTCCAGTTCAAAGGGATTCTAATAGTGTTAATTCTTTAGAGGACTTACTTCAATCGCTATGAGATGATATTATGTTAATTACAAAAATCAACCTTGAGGATCAGTCTAATATGAAGAAAATTCCAGTTACTCCCCTTACATTTACAGTGCACGTTTTTGTGAGGGATAAGAAAAGGGAATTTGTTAAGACGGTGTGTTTGTTACGTAACTTGTGAAGTTGAAAGGTAACAGGAGTTTTCTTGTAATTGTTGGTATTTAGACTAACGGATGTCGAACACCTTGATTTGAGTTCCATTTTTTGGACATTTTCTTGTATAGTGTCGAATAGTGACAATTTTCGATCCATTACAAATTATAATTTTTTCTGCATTTATATTCAAGAAGTAATAGGAATGTGAAAATTTTAATAAAATACATAACTTAAAAATTTTAAGGGTAGGTGTAGGTGTTCAATGGGTGAAGAACTTGTGGTGAGTGTGTAAGTGTGTGTGCGCATGCACGAGAGAGAGAGAGAGAGAGAGAGAGAGAGAGAGAGAGAGAGAGAGAGAGAGAGAGAGAGAGAGAGAGAGAGAGAGAGAGAGATTCATGCATATTTATTTACCCACATAAGCAGCAAACTCCAGATGACTAAATTTTAGGATGATATCAGGTCCAAAATTGAATAAAACTTGAGGAGGAGGTTTGAAATTCATTGAATTTTGAGTATTTTAGCTTTAACATATTTCTGAATTTATTTATCAAACAATGCATTTCAGATTTTTTCTTCCAAACTCCTAAAAAACACTTGGAGTATTTCACAACCCTAATATTTTGAATTAGATGGAGCTCAAACCATATAATAAAACAGTAAAGGTCTCATAAGTCAACTAATTATATATCACACAACATCTCATAAGTCTATCGTTTCGAAAAGAAAAAAAAGGTCTCATAAGTCATAAGAGCCATACCTTGTGCCCATCCTCCGGCAATCTCCACATTCGCAGTCTTCGACTTCTTCTTGCATTTCTTTATCACGGAAGTCGGCGTCATCAAATTTTTGACCTCTGGAGGCACGTAAGGGCAGCCTTCGAATTGCATTGTAAGATCACCGCCACCCAAATGGGCCCTCATTTGTGCAATCCCACCACGACTGGACACAAATCCACAGTACTTGCATTTAGTGGCCTGTCTCGACTTGTCCAGAGGTACATCATGCTCCCATGTATCAGCTAGATACGGTCTTCCCCTTTTATTAGATTGAGCTGAAGGCAATTTATCTAAAGGGTAGAGCAGCAAAGGAACTTGTTAAACAATACAATACAACGGATTGATGTGAAAACTGGCACGGTTATACAAATAATTAATCGCGTGAAGTTTATTTGTAATTAAAATAAAATTTTAGAGGTAGTTCTAGAGAAGCTAATTCGAGTAATTTGACATATCCAACAGTACAAGGTAGTCCTTCAATAATATATTAAACAAATTAAGTCAAAGAATAGAAAACTCATTCTCTGTCTTAAGTGACAGTATTTACTTACTGTGTATATGAAGGCTTACCTTGTGACCTCTTTGTCCAAGCTGCTGATGCATATTTGACCCACTCGTTGAACCACTCTTCCATCATGCTTTTGATTTCCAGAGGCACACGAGGGCAACCTTGCAGCTGCACCTCAGCAGAACCTCCGGCCAAGTGGGTCTTCAGTCGCAAAATCCCACCGTACGTTGAGATAAAACCACAGTAGTTGCACTGTGGCTTTTGCCTAGCCTCGTCCAACACCTTTGCGTGTTGCCAAGCGTTGTCCAGTCGTTTTCCCCTTCTATCGGATTGCTCACCACCTGCAAAACCACCAGTTTCCATCAAAGATTAGAGGGCGAAAAAAGAAAGAAGAATAAATAAATGAGAAGTCATCACGGTAAAGCATATATTAGCCTGCCTGAAGCCCCAAAGAAATATGGTCTTCTTCCACACTTACAAACACCCCAGTGAAGCTTGCATTACCTGATGAATACCACAAACTTCATGGTGCAGTTCGTATAATATAAACCTACATCGACTTGGCATTAGTGATTGTGAAAGGTAATTGGATATTTTCCTCTTGTGATTAAACTCTTGTCCCTAAAATATGGTACCTAAATTATAGGAAAAAACCGATATAACGTCCATTGAACACAGAAATACTTCTGATGGATAAACAAGAGGTTAACAATGAATTATTTTTCTCCAGAGTTGCAAACAATACATACATATAGAATATAAAAAAAATAAAAAATTAAAACAAAAGCCAACGCAAGTTCAAAAATCGCCACATATACCTTGAGACTCTGTGGCCTTGGATGATGATAGACTTCTTGACCAATCGGACATTACTCCTTTTGTTTCAGATGATATAGAGGTCTTTACATTTTTCACTTTTACGGACGTAACTCCTCTTTTTTCAGACGACACTTCAGGCCAAGCTTCCTCATTTGCATTCTGGTTCCTTCCACCCGGAACCTTATGAGAAATTTGACCACGTGAAAAGTCAAAGCTAAAACACCCCTTAAAATCTCTGTCCCGCTCTTCCCAGACAGCATCATGTGGGTTCTCCCTTTCATCATGTGCACCAACCTCGGCTGATACCCACCATAAACCAATTAACTTACGGCAGCCAAAGGAAGTCAAAACAGAGAGTATTAGAAAAACAAAACAAACCATGTATCTTATACATCAACACAGCAAATAGAGTGGCTCTGCATTTAACTCGGAGTTCGGGATATATAGAGCATGACTTTTGTGGGCTGCTTTTCCATGTCACAACTGAAGTCATGGGGAGCAATTGAATATCTTTGGACGTTGAAAATTTTCCCTCAATTAGATTTTCTACCTAACATGAACTTCATTTTGAAAATTTTTAAGAACTTATAACACTATTCCCTTATCTCATTTTTAATCTCATTAATCACTTACAACCCATAATAACAATCATAAAATCACCAATCAATATTTTATTATTCACCTAAGTTTACCATGGGGCACTATTTTACTATTTCTATATTACCTCAACATTCCACATTACAATTTCCTCTTATGTCCACACTCTCAAAGGATACTTTCAGAAAATATTTTGTCACAAATCCTTAGACAGATGAAATTTCCAAACAGTATTGTGCCCGATCACACCCTTAGTATTCCTGATGTTATCTCAATATGGATTGACTAAACTTTGAAAGTAAAACTAAGGAATTAGATTCCGAGGCTATGCAAAACTCACTGATTCTCTACCTGGCAACAATGCTGATAATTTTACATATGAAGGATTGCTTTCAAACAAATTGTAATAACATACATCAGTGCAATGTATTATGGATATTAGACGGCCATGCACGTTCAACAATAAACCATCGCATTGTTAAAATTCTCTCAGAAATATCCTGCAGTAATGCAAGACAAGAACTTCTACATTCCCAAACAACAAAAGTTTAAACATAGACACTACATACGCAGATTATGTCCTCTGTCATGCCCCAGTCAGTGGAAATAAGTGGCTAGATCAGCATCAGTAAGACAACACAAGCATCTAATACAATCAAACTCAAAAGAATCCCCGAGTACCATCACCCATACTGCTACATCCAAAAACAATAAGTGACCCTCAAGTTGTGCAACAAAACATGACATCACAATAGAAATATACACAATGTTAAATTTGACGTGGTGTTACTTAAGGCATACCTCTAATTTCATTTGTCCAAAGAGCTTTGGTTTTGTATACCCAATCGTTGAACCAATCGCTCATGACTTCTTTCACATGGGACGGCACCTGTTCGCAACATGGCAAGCGGATTTTCGGGTGTCCTCCCCCCAAATGTGCCTTAAGTCGCGAAATCCCACCATGGGAGGAAACAAAACCACAATACTTGCATTCTGCCTTCTGTCTTAATGGATCTAGCGAGTTTGCGTGCTGCCAAGCATCGTCCAGACGCCTTCCCCTCCTATCAACTATAGGTGCATGTGTTACTGTTCCCCCCAGAGTAGAAATACGAAAATAAAAAAGAAAAAGAATACATGAGAAACAGTTAAAATACACATTAAGTACCTACATTGCCGTAATAAGTTACTAGTAAGAACAGGTCAAATTATAATATAAATAGGGGATACGAAAATACATCAAGATTATCATATGCATCAAAGTTTGCAATTTTGTAGTCATATTATCTTAGAAGATAATCAACAAGATCAATACAAGGTGTGCGAAAAGCTATATATTGGAATCTCTATTCTAGGAGAAACAATTATGCAATATAACCACGAAGTGTGGTCAATAATTTGTGCAATGGGTAACAAAGTTACATGTAACTTAATGGTAAAATACCAAGATTTCCTGTAAGCGACCTTTAATGTGCTTATTCATCATCTTATGGACATTTGATTATGTTACCATGGATAATATTCAATTTGACAATAAATTCAAAAGTAGGTCTCATAAAACATAAAGATACATTCTCATGGATTTTTGAGACTGCAGATGTTTTGACCAAAAAAAAAAAAAAAAGACAAAAGGATAAAGTATAACATGAGAATGGATGTTTTAACACTAAAGGTGACAACATCTGCAGGTTACCAGCATATAATCAATACTGAAAAAAGAAAGAAAAAAAAAGTGTAAGTGGGTAAAAAAATCAAATGCTAGGCAGCACATTTTAGATCATTAAAACCAAAAATGGTGTGAATTACAATTATAAGCAAGTACCGGGCAGCTACAATTATATTGTCTCTAGGACTTACAAGGGTTGTGCTTGTCTCTAGGACTTACAAGGGTTGTACTTGCTCGAAATGGTTACTACACTCTCTTTCTCATCAAAGCTCCTGTGGCCACAAGAATTAGCAGACAGACTCAGCCTCACAATAGGGGTCTGAGTAGGCAACTGATTCCCTGATTGATGAGAAGCACCAACACGTTGTCCCTTGAAAACACCCCACAAGTAAGGGTTTCCCTGTAATCCTGCAATTTTATGGGAACAAAAGAGTAATAAATTGCCAAAAAAAAAAAAGTAAAAAAATTGCAGAGACAAAACTATTTTGGACTCACTGTGAAGCTTCCCAGGAAGTTGGATAGAAGTAAATACAAGGAGTTCAGCTTTTCCAATAGTTGCTTTAAGGGCAAAGTCACCGCACATTGCATATGTCAGCATATTATTGAAAACTTCTTCGTCTCTGTGAACACATTTGTCAGTGAACAGTGTAGAGACATAAAAATTTTGTCCAATCAAATGACGCCACGTGGAAATTAATTTATTAAAAAATCAAGTCATATTTTCTATTTATATTTTAGGAATTTCCATATATTTAATTCCTAAATTTAAATAGTTAATTAATTGATATTTTAATATTTTAATTCTTGACCAATCAAATAATGCCAAGTGTCAAATCTTATTCTTGGTAAACAAATCATATCTTCTAGAAGATCTTGGAAGATTTAAGTGGATCTAGAAGATCTTGGAAGATTTAAGTGGATCTTGAAGATCTTATGTGAATCATCATGGACCAATCAAATTGCGTCCTACGATTCTTAAATTTGGTAAGGATCTCCCTCCTACACCTATAAATAGGGGCTCTTTCTAATGTCAAAAACACACATCTCATAATTCAAGTTCAAGTTCAAGAGCTCTAGAGAATTCTCTCTACAAGTTTCAAGTGTTCTTGGAGTTTTAAAGCCGTTCTTGAAGATTCGAAGGAAGATTCAAGCGCATTCAAGCTCAAAACCGACGTTTAATCCGGAAACAAGCTGCGAAGCCTCCGAATTGCGTTCATATTCAAGTTCAAGATCAAGGTCTCTCGACGAGATTCAAGTGTTCTTGAAGATTCAAAGGCGTTCTTGAAGATTCAAAGCAAGATTCAAGCGCGTTCAACCTCAAGACTAGCGTTCAATCCGGAAACAAGCTGCAAAGCCTCCGAATAACGTTAGTAAATTCAAAATCCGGCGTGAAGAAGATTCGAGATCAACTTTGCGGCGAAGACCAAGGATTCGTGTTCTTCGCGTTCTTGGGATATTTTGACGTTTGATCCGGGAAAAAGCTTTCAAGCCCTCGGATTACGTTAATTCAAGTCAAACCAAGTCAAGGAGAAGATCAAGCCGAAGATTTCGCTCCAAGACTTAAAAATTGTTTGTGAGAAGAATCAGAGGAGAAAATAGAGATTGTAACCCGCAATATTATTTTGATTCAAGAAATTCATTTGAATAATATTTTTCGTGTTTTTTTAAATTCAATACACGAAATTTGTTGTTACAAACAGTAAAAAAATAAAAGAGAAAAGGAAGGGCCCGGAGCAATGATTAATATGGTACCTTTCCTCAGGGAGAAAAAAGAGTGTGACACTGTGTTCATCAGGTGGCGAACTCTTAAAGGACGCTGGCCAAATATCAATGCGCGGGACAATTTCCAAACTTAATAAGTCAGGCATTATACGAGCTACCTCCAAGCATGCATTGTTTGAGACATGAGCAGCTACATTGATACTGAGGTTCTGCTTTGGGATAGCAAACCTCCCTCTTTTGAGCATTAAATAACATAATAAAAAAGGGTGGTTGTTAGCCCTGCTACATTATACAAAACCCTGTTCTCAGCAATCTCTAGTGGCACAATGAAAAAGAAAAAAGGATTCCGGAGACAGAGAGAGAGAGAGTACCTCCATGCAGATACCAGTTGAGCTGACCTACTAGACTGACAAGCATCACTTTGTCCGTCTGTCATTCTTGCATCCAGGGATACCACCTAGACAGAATTGTTTACTTAAATGAGACACTTATAAGTTTTATAGAACGAAAAAGAAATTCTGAACCAGACTTATGAACAATGAAAGAACATTTTATGCAACCATGACGAAATGAATAGCACGGTGTGTAAGTATTACAACCATGCCCCTTAAATCATGCACAAGATGACCACGAAACACGGGGAAAATCAGGGGTTTCAAAACTCATATTCTCGACATTTTCATACCTGTAGGGCTCTGTTGAGAAAATACCAACAAACTCATGCATATGAAACCGAAGACTACTAATCCTAAACTCGTAAAACAAACAGCTAGAATCGAAAAATGCAAATCATAAACTCCTCAGATTTCAACATTTTCAAATCAAATACTACAGCTCTAACTCAGTCAGCTGAAGCAAAGAACTGGGACATGAAGAGAAAAATGCCGAAAGCAACTAAGACGCAAAAACCCTACTTCCCCACGAGCCATGAGCATAAGAAGAAACACTCACAACAAAAGGGCAATAACGATACAAGAGAAAGCCAGAAACTTTTCATTGCAACTTAAATTAATCATATTGCATTGACAATCATAAATGAGCAAAAAAAGGGAGGAAAATATATTTATACACAGAGAGGAGAAAACCCACGAGCGCGGCTATTGATTTTACCCCAGAGCTGTGTTGATATTTCGTATCAGATTTCATGGGCTCTCCCTGTTTTCAGTCTACTGACGACTACTTCGAACAGATGGAGTGTAATAACTGGGCTCCAGCAGAAGGGTCTCTTTGATTGTGCGAGCATCCAAAGTTCAAGTAAGGTACTCCTTTTTTCCTGCAGAGAGAAAAAGAAAGGAGATGAAAAAGCTTGGCTTTACAAAAAGAACGAGAGAAAATAAAAGAAAATAAATGGCAAAAAAAAAGGGAGAGTGAAGATGAAGATAAAAAGGGAAAAAGAAAAGAATTCGGGCCTCACTTTTATTTCAACTCAAAATTTAACTTAATTTTAACTTAATTTGCCGCCCTTGTGGTCCTACCCGACTCGATTCCGGATTAGTCGGTTCCCCTGTGGATCCGGAAACCGGAAGGTCCCTGTACCAAAAAAAAATTTAACTTAATTTTAACTCAATCGCACTATCTTTAATATTATTTATATAATTAAATAATACAAATCAATCATTTTTACACGTCACATCAACTTTAATTCACTATTTATTCACTCACATAATTTTAACTACCTATCATTTCCAATCATTTATCTCTTATTTTTACATCAAATCAATTTTGATCATTCTATTTTAAATATTATTTTAATACATTCTTAAAATTCCACTAACAACTAACTATACCAATTTTTTTAAAATTAACTATGGTTGAATAAAATAACTCATTTTGAACAAATTATTCCATAAACAATCAAGCCCGAAGTTATTCCTGTGTTGGTAAAATTAGTTTATCAGTAATTTTTCAACTTATAGCTTACTAGTACAACGCCTGTGTACTACAATGGTGTTTCATAAGAAACTAATTGTCCAACTTAAAGTAAAAAAAAAAAAAATTAATAATAATCTTATTGTGAACTAGAAACCATAAATAATTAATAGAATTATATTTTTTTTAATATTATTTCAAATTCTATAAAATATTTTTATAAAGTACTATTTATTTTATTTTATATATATTTATTTTTTTCAAAATTAAATAGATTAAATAAATTATTCGACAATTAATAATGCCCGTGAATATCACAGACGCTTGAAAGTTAAATATTTGTATCAAATAAAGTAGTGAAGAAATATATATTCTTATAATAGAATAATAAAAATCTAAATAAACAACTAATAACTATAAAAATAATAAAATAATTATTTAAAATAATACTATATTTTATACTCAAAGTATTAAAATGATAATTTCTTAACCACAAACACAGACACACACACATATTTATTTTTTATTTTTTTTTTCAAGTTTGACTATATTGTAATTACACTTTATATTTATACAATTTTTCTCTCTGACTTAATATGTTTTAAATATCTTCAACCTTATGACGTTCAACAATTTAAAATATAATGGTATGAGAATAATGTTGTAAACTTTACTAAATAAAAAAAATTATTTTTATAATTTTAATTATAATGTTTATTTACCTTTTTTTTCACAATCATAATACTTCTGTGTAGTCTTTATTTAAGTCGAGACATAAACTTTTAGAATATTTTTTTGGACTAATTTGATGCTCATAATTAGTTTATTTATTTTTTCTAAATACAATAGCTATATTATAGTATGCTAATACACATAATTATAATTGTTTTACAAGATAAAATATATATTTTTTATATATTTTAGTCTAGTTTGATTAATGATTCTAGATTTTATATAATATTATATATCATTGTTTTATATTTTATATATATAATATGGATGTCAAATCGAAGATCATTAAAAGTTAAATAATTTGATATATCATATATAAAATTAAAATACAAACCAAAAAAGTTATAAAGTTTTAGAAATAAGAAGAATGAACATTTATGATAATTGATGTATGAATTAAATAAGAAAATGAAATTTAATTTATGGTAATGTAGGAAAAGAAAACTTAAAATAGTTTACGGTAAGTAATTGTTGAATAAAATATGGAAGAGATCAATAAGGATTTAATATGATATAAGCATTGTATAAAATC